TCGATGCATTAGTATTAACTAGTATTAAAAGAATTGGTGAAAATGTGCCATTTTCAGCAGTTTTTAAAGTGAAACTCCTGACCATTTTTCCATTCGTAATCCAACCAAATTGTGGATTTGGATCAGAGTTAGCCACCTGAATGTACAGAATATATATCACTACATCTTAAACCCACAACTGCAAGCACGTAAACATTTGGGGCACTAATCTTAGCACTGAAGAAAAGAAAGGAAACGGTAAGCCTGCTAACAAACACGACACACACACACTCACATCTTTTTTTCTCATCAGAGATAATAATTGTAAAATACGACCTTTGTCAAATCACATCCTGCCCTGGAGAAAACTCAGTCCCGACCACTGCATCACTATGAATCATCTAACTGCTTAATTATTAGTTTATCAGCATAAGTTTACGGAGAGACACTACGACAACAATCATTCATCTTCCCCAAACAACACTGAGAAGTTAATTATTCAATTCAGGAAAAGAGCGTCTGCATGATATTTCAACGTGACATTTCTTTTTCTTTGCCAAGGTTAAACAAGCAGTCGCTGTATTCCTTCGTGTTGTTATGAAATGACTGTTGTACCTGGCCCGGTTAGTTAACCTCCCCCAAAAGCCAGTGGTAATTATGAACAGCATTACATTTGTTATTGGAGAGAGCTGAATGCACCAATGAGAGGAAAACATTTTAAGAACAACCCCCCCAAAAGCTTAAAAATTAAGCCCAGGATGGCAGGGAAAAGGCATCATTGTAATCCTGATAAAACTCCAGGTCCATTAAGCTCAGTGGTGACTTTTACTCAGAAAAAGAAGAGGTAAATTAAAGGGTCTAAAAATAATGTAATCCTCTCCTTTGACTAGCCCACAGTAGCATTAAGCTGCAGAGCTTTAATAGAGTCACTGATGATCATGAACATTTCCACCAGAGCAGAGTGATAAGCAACTTATACAGTGAAAGCAAAGTGGAAGTGATAGAATAATAGCTCTATTGTGACTGCGGACACGAAGCAGCAGAGTTCAATTAGGAACGAGCAAAAAGCCAAAATCCGGATTAGCACAAAATTTTCTGTATATTTAAAAGAATGGAGAAAATAATGAAATAAGAAAAAGTAAGTTGTTTGACTCTATTTCGGGAGAGAACAGCTGGAAATGTTTTTGATGCCAACCGAATGACAGTTCTGGTATTAATGTGTCAGCAAGCTCCTAACAGAGATAAACATCCCAGATGCCTGCTGTGTGACTTTCTGACTCACCCTCGCTAGCTGCAGCACCCAGATCCCAGTTGGCCACATAGACGGGCATTTGAGAAACAATCACTTGAATTGGTTCTCTTTAATGGCTTCATAAAAGAAGTAATTATTCTGCAGCGGGAAGGCGCTGTCAATGGGAGATCAAATGATGTCTTCCACTATCCAACCTTAACAAAGCTCCTCATTCAGGACCTTACAGGGTATCTGCAGCTTTTTCTCAAAAAAGGAAAAGAGCTTGGTTTTTTGTTTTTTTTGCCCCACTTCTCTTCTCGCACCTTCTCTAAGCACACAGGATCTCTGCTTTAATTAAAAGTGAATTCTCAAAGCTCAGCTCTGCTGTGAATCTCAGTGCTCTCTGCTTCAATACGCTTAAGGAGGGGATTGCGGAGGGTTTTCAGTAAATGTTTAGTTGGTGAGGAGGAAGAAGAGGAGGAGGAGGAGGAGTGTTGGAGGTAAGGAGGGGAAAAGTCGTGTGGAAAAATGGAAAGTTTCAACAGTCAACAATTAATCTAAAAGCACAAGACTCATTCACTAGAGAAAATGTAGTCATTTATTAAGAGAGAACAAGGCAAGAGCTTAGACTTTAGAAAAGTGCAGTGCTGCAGCACTCATGAACGTGCATTTGCCTGATCTGTATTTGGTATCACTCATTATCAAACATATTAATATTTATGGGAAGCTGTTTACTATTTGTGAGCTGGATTTTTGAGTACTCTTCATTTAGTGCCCACTCTTACCATCATTGTTTGTGGGAAACATATAAGCATGGCTGAGGCTCTGCTCCACTTATTGGATCTGCTCCATTTATTGTTATTATTTATGACAATAAAACACTTTTTTGAGGGCCTAAACATGCTTGAAAACTCACGGGTTTTGCACGCGCATCACAAATAAGGATTCAATATTTTAAGGATCTCAGCACCCTCGGCACATACTCTGGCCTACATGAATGAAATTTGTTGCACATTAGATTTCCACTGTGGGATCAACACATGACATACAGCAACAAGACATACAGTGTAACTACTGAATGCTCAGTAATGCCGCCTAGTGGGCACAGGAAGTGATAAGTAACAAGTTTACACAACAGCCAGTTAGATTCCAGGACACATGGCTATACTGTTGATGTCCTTAATCAAGATTCCGACTTCCGCTTGAAGGCATGAAATGCCCCATCGATATGGATAAAAGAGTGAGGACCACGTCATCTCTGCTCAAAGCTTTAATTCTTTTTTGTTTGGGAAAATTATACTTTGAGGGGAAATGAGCATAAATAATCTGCTAAACTGTATTCTCTGCTTAGTGCCAGACAACAACACTAGCATCACTCAGGAGTGTGAAAAACAAGGCCAGGGGACCAGAATAAGCCTGGCAAAGACCCCAATCCGGCCCACTGGTAACCTTTGGAAAATGTGATGAAGGGCATCATTTCCTGCTAAACAATTACAATTAAAAAGCATGAAAGTTCCTGTTATTTTCACTATCTACCATAGAAATTATAGAAATAAAGTGGGCCCACAAAGGGGAAAAAAGGAGATTTTCTGGGCAATGAGCTGCCAGAACTTTTTCTGTAATTTTGCAAATTTATTTATTTGTGCTGCATTTACTACATAACCATTTTTATTTTATTTTTTATTCTTCTTTGTCTTATATTAAATGGGATTAAATATGTAATTAAACATCTGACACACTGACAGAAATGTGGGTTTTACTGGTTCGGCCCACTTAAGGTCAAAGTGGGGTTTATGTGGTCCACTGAGTTCTAACATGAAAGGTTTAGAGGCCTTCGTTACTTATTTATCAAAATAAAATGTTGTGTTAGTGTTAGCACTGCACTCGTCCATGATGCACATAATCCACCGTCTTTGCCAAGACAGTTGATCAAACACAATTCGGTTTTCTGCTATTCCCTCTTGCTGAGTGAAACGGCAGTGCTAGAGCTCATCTCTGATTTAAAGACCACTTAATGTAGAAACAACAAAGGGGACTTACTTAGAATCGGCTTAGCAGTTTAGTTGTATCTCGCAAAAAAAGACCTCTACATAAGTCATTGGGAGGAGGTCAGAAAGAGTGGAGGGTGTATAAAATGCGGGGTTTCAGAAGAGATGAGAGCTCTGGATCCTCAGTCCCACATGTTTTTGGCAGCAATTAGTTATAGCATATAAATGGACTACCAAAAACAGAGCTGGAAGAACAGTGACTATTGGATTTGCATTCACCAAGCGGACAGAATAAAACAACTGCCAACGCAAGCTTGTGGTTATCTAAGCTCGTGTGCATCTAAGCATATGCTCGCCATCGTGTTTTCCGTGCCGGCTTGGGTTGGCCAGGAGATGTTTTTACATGTTATTGCCCACGAGTGACCACAAAAAAATGAAAGAGATTTGACAGATGAGGAAAAAAAGCTGAATTATCCCTTTACAAGTGCAAATATGCATAATTCTATTTTTTTTTTTAGCAGAATCACTACTGCAGATCAGAGGTTTGACCGCTTTTCGAGCTAAAAACACCAAAAGGAAGCATCTTTCGTTTGTAATGATCCGAACTGCATCCTCTCGTACTCATGGAGTACGGCTTAACTTATTCCCTGAGGAAGATGTTGACACAACTGTCCTTGTGTATCACACAGCTCCTTCTGGACCGCTAGGCAGAGTAAGAACAGAAAAACAGTCGAGTGCTTGGTGGTGCAGCAGGAGGGGAGACAGACCCTCCACTGTATGACATGCATTCAAGCTCCCATGTCAACGAGCAGCCACTCTGCTGAAGTGTCTTTAAGCAAAGAGCTGGATCCTCCAGCACTGTTGTTCTGCAGCTCTTCACTCTCACCTCCCACAGCAAGGGGAAAATGAAAGGAACACTGTTGTTATTGTTACGCAAATACAATGAACAATAGAGCAGACAGGAAATACTCGTTAAACGAAACAATCATTAACGTGGGTTTCAAACGCTCTGAAGACACTTTTGTTTTTACGCCATAGGTATTAACAAAATCTCACTTCCTGTATTCTGAAGTCTTTTCTGGTTCCTGTGAGGAATCACAGTGGTCTAAACCCTACGCAGCTGAAACTGTTGTCACCTAAAGAAATCATTTCAAATTTATTAATTAGATTTTTTTTTTTAAATAAATTAAGACTTTGACGTTTGAGTACTACATATGTCTGGAACACTCCCAACATGATTAAAGAGGTTACTCAGCAAGCTGTGTGGACTATAAAAGGTGATCCTGTCCATGGCACCACATGCTGGGATGACTTCAGCAGATATAAAATCTTGAAACTGCAAGCTGCTGTCTCAGCATGAAGCTCAACAAACAACAGGATTCTGTAAAAGACTCGAGTATGTGGTATTTTTCCACTTCATTCTGTCACTTTATGTGCTTTTTAGATTTAAAGAAAATTCTCATTCTCTTCGGCGCGAGCAAAAACTACACCAGCATGTCTGTTGCCTAACATTTCAATGCATGTGAAACGTCCCTCATTCCTATTTCTCCAAGTATCATTACACAAAATATATATGATGAATGTGATATTATTGCATTGTTATTTGCTACATTTCACCCTTCCATCTGATTAATGTAGAAGCTAATCTGCAGTGTCTGCAGAAATACATTATATTGCATTTGTTAATAATATACTTTATCTATGAAATCTGAACCTAAATAGGTGCCAGTTAGTAAAGTAAAAAGTGTGACATTTTCTGGGAAATATATGGCGGAGGAGAAGCAAATAAATACAAAACGTACCTCAAAATCTTTTGCAAGCACTCAGCTGGAGTCCACTACATAAAAGCATACGTTTTCCCAGAAAGCGGATGAAATGATCCGTTTTGCAATTCTAAAAAGTTAAACAGCAAACATCTTGAGCTAAGTTCCTTGCGAGATTGCAGTGACAGTTGAGTAGTTATATATGTTGAAATAAACCACGAAAAAAACATCAATGTTTTCAATTTACAGTGTTTGCACAGACCGCCGCCCCAGCAGAGCAGAAGCTTATGCAGCCAAAGCATATGTTTTGAATCATGACTGAAAATTATTTTCTCACTTCACTGGAGAAATGTTCTCCTGCCGCTAGTATTGCAGAAGTCTATATTGCATTTACCACCTACACAAACAACCCACAGCAGAATCTCAAGTAACTGACACCCATACTGGTGGAGTGTCAAAACAGCAACTTATCTGCACTGAACATAACAGCAGCCTCGTACCGACTGACTTTATTTTACTTTACAAAAAAGATAATGAAAGGATAGCATGACAACAGTCTGCTCATCTGTCGTGGAGCGCTGTTGTACACAAGCTGTTTAGCAGTTTTTGATGAGCTGTTCGGTGTGAACAATTATGCAGGGCAGTGGTCTGGATGCATTCATTGGAGGAACATGAAGAGCGTACATATAATAGGATGCTCTGTAAGCACGCCTCGCAAAATGTGTAGTGAACCGCGCGCCTCATCAGCATCGCGCAAATCTCCGTGCAAAAGGTCGAGCAGCACCAGAGGCCTACTGTCAACATATCTTTTCCAATTAGATATGAAGATTGTTAGAGGCCTCGCTGCTTTTACGTTCTATTTTTATTCAAATGATGGTGTTGTTGATAAGTTGCTGATGTTCTGATGTCCTCGCTGTTGGTCCCGTCAGTTTAATATTCCCATGACTGAACACTGATAATAACCACAGCGATAATGTGCATGTCAAATTCACACGTATTTTAAGACTGGGGGGAACTAAGTGGGTTTTTGTGTAGGAGTATGTTAAGATATGCACTTCCTTTACTTAAGAACTTTTCATTCGTTTCTTTTTCTTTAATGTAATTTGGCAGAATATCGAACAGAATTTAGGACAAGGACTATCTGCCTTCTCTAAATTCTGCTTTGTTTTGAAAATCAAATCCTTTGAAGAAAAGGAAGAGAAAGAGAAAGCTTACACTTTGTGTGTGCATGTCTGTGTCTGTGTGTGGTAATGCAGTGTTGTGCCACACTATTGTGATGTGCAACAAAATTACCATAACATAAATTATTTACATTTTAAGGTGACAACTTGGTAATTATGTGAAGATTTAGGTTGAGGTCAGGTTCACAGGAGTTGAGGTTTATTCGTTTTGCTAAATTGGCAGCAGGGATTTAAGAGTCTGCTGTCTCCCCAACACCCATATTTTTATATTTCCAATTATAAATCTTTGCTTCAGCTAAGAATGTTAATGTAAGTCACAAAACGATGCTTTCACAATAATCTGCTCACGATAATCAAAATACGGTGATTCTTCTACGGTGCATATCTGGTATAAGCCACGAGAAATAACTCCAAGAAACCAAAAATAAATTATGCAGGAATTTGTTTTGCATGCTTGCAAAACTGATTTTTGGCAAGAAAAAGCGTTGTTGATGCTTTGTCCCACTTTGAGTTTTCACATCTTACTTCAGCATTAACCCAAAGAATATATGTAATGCAATAACGGGGTTTGTCTTTAGAAAACCATGAAGAAAATAAATAAGTACAAAGTGCAAAATTTAAAACAAACCAAGTCAAAATCAGGTCTCCTGGTTTCTAAATAATAGAAACAAAAACTAACACAATGGAAACCAAACTAAGTAAAGCTGAAAAAGAATCCATCTGACTTAAATCTGCAGATATCTTGGTTTTGCTGCATACTGACAAAATGCCAAACACTGTTTGGCCGGAAAGGAGTGGCCTGGGAAATAAAAAGAAGACCACTTCCTGTGGATACTGTAATTATGAATCTTTACATATCCCTCAAACAAAAATATGGAAAAAAATATTTATAAAAAACCAAAATATAATGATAAAAGATGTATGTGTTTCAAATAAATAGATTCAAAGTAAGCAAGTCATGCATGATAATACTGGACAAACAGAGGGAAAAATGAAAGGACGCTTGTATGGCACCTTTGGAAGTTTGAGAAATGCTGACGCAGTGGTGCAGGGTTGTATTGTTCTGATAACAAGATGCACTGTGTATTATTGAAAGTGACAGAGCATTTCAGGGCAGTGGTTTCCTATTGCATTGTTATGTAAGTGTTGTTTGAGACTAATAAAAAAGATAGAAGCTGGTATCTCCCATGCACACAGCCCTTCTGCTTCGAGGGTTGAAACAGAAGCAGGTTCATTTAAAATGAGGTTGGTAGGGGCTCGTCAGACCCATCTTCTCCCGCTGTCTCATGAATTTCACTCTGACCAGTATATCTTAGAGATTCTTGTTTTTCCCAATGGCTTATGCTACGGTAGACGTAGAAATGGCTACAGTATCTGGGGATTTCTGACAGCTGCTTGCTTTGGGCTCGCAGAAAGGAGCGTGCCTCAGTGCTGCAGCCTGTATGAATAAAATATGATGTGCACATAGAGTAGTGCTTCACTGTTGCTCTGATGCAACATGGAACAACATCTCTAAAGCAAAGGAAGAAAGAAGAGAGCTGCCTGTGTTTACAACTGAGTATGTGAGATACAGAAACAGAAGTCTATGAAGCAACTGCGTGACGACAGTGAGGTGCTCAGTAATCTTCCCAAGGAAATTCTCACATTTCAAACATGCAGTTGCATTTATTTAAATTCTCCGTTCACCTCACTTCCTTCTTCTTCTTGTGGTGCAAAGAGCTTTGGTTTTTATCTCCACCTCCCTAAGGGACTGTGCATTAGAAGAAATAGACCCACTGAAGTCTGCGGACTAAGCTGTGAACACAGCAAAAACAAAACAAACACAAAAAACACAGAGGCGAAGATTTATCACGGAGTACTTTGGATTATGAATTCTTTAAGGTCTGGAATAAACAGAGAGCGATTAGCCCCTCTAAAAGGCCCTGTAGTTAATCCAGGAGAGTGCTGAACATTCGAACAGTCATTTCCAGGCTGGGTTACTTCTCATGGTTTCTGCATTTACTGCTCTGCATGTGGGAAATGTTGTGGAGATGATATCGCTAAAAGAATAGACGTGATAATGCATTCATACTGTGTTAGGTCAAAAACAAATAAACAAGAGACTGCAGGAACTGATTAGAGCCTGATCTGTAGCATATTTAAGTAGTAATTGTTCAGATGACACAACAGAATTCCCATATGCTGCAAACTACTTAGCATGCAAGCAGAGAAGTCTAAATAAACAGCTGAAAGTTGTGGATAAATAGCTGAAGTGTCACAGTACGAAAGGAGAGCTTCTTGAACAATTCCAGGATGTTTTGTGTGGATTCACGAGGGCAAGTGTTTTCTTAACAAAATAACACAGAATAACTGCATAAAGTAATTTCTTCAAGAGGCCGGGAACCACTAGAGTCGAGAGCCTGACACTGAAAATAATGTGTTTTGAGCCGAGTCTGAGTGCAGCCAGATCGCGTTTAAGTTGCCAGTTGACTGAGAAGAGGGGCTGAACTGGGAGTCGGTGAGGCACCGAGTGAAAACTCGAGCTGAGTCATCCTACCACCCCGAGCAACCTGGGAAACATCTGCACCATCACCGAGAGAGGGGAGGTGATGAGGGTTGACATGGCGTGGCGATGGGCTCGTGCTTGACCAGGCGTGGTGCAGTCACTACGTGTGATAGCTCCCAACATCTCATCCAACCTGAGCAGCATTACTGACAGATGGAGAACATTAGCACAGAGGAGGAGTTCATGTGCGCGCGCTCTGCTCACTGCCAGATTCAGAAAAGTAGCCGATAAGGGGATAGACTTAGCCGCTTATCCTGCTTGCTGCTGGAAATTAATGGAACAACATGTAAGGCTGAGTGTAAGAATAATAAGCCCCTACTTTAGGCGTGCCGTGTATAAATAGGCGCAGCTTGGTTACCGATGCACATCTTTCAGATTAAATCCCAGGAGATGCAATTACTGAGCAAACAACTGTGGTAAAAAAAAAGTGCAAGTATTTACCCTTTAATGACACACTCCCAACAGGAAATGAGTGAAAGTAGTTTATCCATTTAAAAACCCGAGTATCCTGTTATTTCACGGGCAGATGAGTGGTTTGGGGAGGAACAAAATGATGCACATTTTGATTTGCCCAAGTAGTTCATTTTACAGCAACCTGACAAATTTCTCTAGCAAGTGTGACGGCCCAATTAGGGAGCAGCATGCTGAAAGGAGATCTGAAGCCAGCGCTGACACTGACTGCACAAGTTGACAGACCCGGAGGGGGCTCCACTCCTTCAGATTCTTTATCACACTGGGGCTCCTGCTGCTGTGCTGCAGTATTGTTGGGACAGGGTTTATCAAAATCTTCTGACATCCTCTTTAAAGCAAACGCATGTCTAATTCTTTACGGTGCAGTCTGGAAGTTGATGGATGTGTTTTTACAGACTGACTAACACTGCTTGGAGTTATGTTCCCAATGCTGAGAGAGCACCACAGGGCTGGAACATGGAAGGAACATCTTCTTTATTGACCTAATAAAACTAATCAAAGAATCCCAGTGTTTTGCTGTCATTAAATTATACTTTGTAGCCAATATCTTTAACGACACTGTAAACAAATTACATCTTGTTATCTCAACTCCCACATTACTCAGCTTCCTTAATCGGACTATAAATAACTTTTATGTGAAAAACTCATTTAGGACTATAAAAGGCAGCTTTTTGGTTAAGGTCAAGAACATTACCCAGAGACTTGCACGCAGGCATGCGGTCAGACAGTCTTGGTCTCCGGTTCCTAAAAGCGGAGTTAGTAAACTACATTTTTTCCCCCATTTAAAGCCTCTCCTGTTGCCAGATTGGACTTCTGTTGGGGCAGCAGGTATAAAACACAGAGCCCAGCAGTTTAACACCAACAAAAGGCTTCTTGTGAAGCAGGGATCGAGTTGAAGAAAGAACAAGGAGGTCTGCTACTCAAGGTGAACAATTACAGTAGTGATGTACTAATCCCGCCGACAGGCAGAGTCTCAAGGTCAGCTGTAGACCACAGAAAATGTGTCTTTTAAAGTCACCTTTTTCTCCTTATCGTCTGCTCCTTATCTTTTTCCATTTTACCCAATTTACACTCTATTTACCCTCCCTCTCAAACACCTACAACATCACGCCGTCTGACTAGACGTTAGCAATCAGACAACTGCGAGGCAGCCTGATGGCACAGAGAACAAACAAGGAGCTCGAGACCCTGACACAACAGTAAATGTTTTGATAGTTCCAGTTCAAGGACAAAGCTTTAGAAGAGAAGAGCATGTTTTCCACATTGGGTGAGTACCAATCTATGTAGCCAACAGAAAAATCTGTTTAATTACAATTATCTGCTGAGAAAATACACCCTGTGTTCAGAAAACTAAAGGACCTGATTGCACGGTTAAGCGCGGGGTGAATGCAATTTGACGGCAGGTGTTGCTTTTGGATTGCACGAGAGGTTGGCGGTCGCATTTCAACTTTGAACTTTAAATTTCCACAATAACTTAAGAGTAACATGCAAAAAAATTAAATATGGTTCGTGTTCCAGAAACCAAAAAAAGGTTTGTATGACACTGAAAGAGCAACTGATATTTAGCTGCGCTCGAATAATTATGCACTGTGCACTTGATTAAGATATAAAAAGTATGCAATAATTACCTACTGAATGTCTTTGCCTCTGTTTAAAAACACACTCGATCTGCCAGGATGTAAGGAGATCGACGACATGCAAGCACATAACCTTGCACTGTGACTCAGACAGATACAAACAGAGGCCTCATATTAGCCTCGGTTGGATTAAACATGTCCTCAGTAGGGTGCCTGTGTCTGTCTGAGAGAAAAGCCTGAACAGCAGGTCTCTGAGTTCAAAAATATAATTGGCTTTTACATTATATTCACTCACTGCAAACTGACTGTGAGCACTGTGAAAGGTTTTTTCACCTGATCATCAGAACAGAGACAAAACAGATCGACTTGAAGGTGGTAGACTATATCGTCTAGATGTTTCCTTTTTAACATCGAGGTTGCTTGTCTTCTTCTTCCTCAGTTTATTTGAGCCTGATAAGTGCATCTGCAAATTTAATATCTTTGGACAAAATCCCCCACACTTGACTTACAGATTAGTCTTTCGGGGTTTCCCAGCTTTGTCTGATGTCTGCCTCGCAGTATTTCCTCACCACCTGTCTAGGCTGTCATTATCTGGCTACGTCTCACAGAGGAAGTCTGCCGTTGTGAATAATCCTGATATAAGCTGAAAATCTGGCTGAAATGTGCACACGGCGAGGGTGACCCACTCCTTCGGCCTGTGCAGCCGTAACACAGTTTTAAAGATTATCCTCTTTCTAAAATCAACTCTTTCTTCAAGGAAACTGAAAAAAAACAGTTACTGACAAACATGAAGGGACAGTGCTAGTTGTGTTTGGTATTCACATCCATGCCACTCACTGTGAAACTACTACTGTGTGTTTGAACGTCAGACACTATAAACAGTCGAAAACCAGCCAAGTATTTAATGCTAAGCTATTTTTGTACACGCTCTAATGAGGATCTTGACATCCTTTCTTGACGGTAATATATCAGGAAGGAGCGCACCATCCAGTCTAGTGGTGCTGCACCACCCTCACGTCACTGTAATGGCTTTCACAACCACGCAAACTGTGATTCCTCTGGCGATCTTCAAAGCTTGCGTCCACTGGATGTGATCCATGGAATAAGTGCTGGAGGAATTCAAAGCCTTCTCCCTCTGCCGCCAGTCACCCAGTCACTACACAAAGGACTTCATATGTAAGCACATTCAGGTTTCTCACAGTTAATCCTGTGTGTGAAAATCATTCACATTCAGCATCAAGTTAAAAAGAAAACATTTTTTCTTTCAGGATTTCATCTTCATGGTCACCAAGAGGATCCTGGAGATACAAAATGCGGTGACTTTGACCCTGATGATTCACTGCATCGGCAGCAGAATCTATTTGACTGCTGTACAAATATGAATTTCAGCCATCAGCATGTTTCCCTGACGTCTGTTCACTTCTGCCTGAGGGAGGACTGAGCTTGTGGGAGAGCACAGCTAATGTTAGCAACAATAAAATCTATGCGATTTTATTTTTAAACGAGCATCAGCAGGTTCCTGCCTGGCACAAATGAAACCACAACAATATTCAAATGCAGCAGAAACGCAGATTTCCAGTGGTTTCCGCTCAAATAAAGTGAAATCGAAAACGGTTAGGTAATATTTTACAGTGATGTTCACACTATTGATCAATTCAGCTTGGACTAGATTCAGGAGCTATGAACTGAGTGCCATAACAAGCGGTCTGTCAGGCTCTATGCTTTTTATTTATTGCCATGACAAGTGCTGAAACACCAGCATGACCAATTAGTCCCATTCATCAATTGATTTTTGAGCATTGTGATCCATCTTAACAGCCACTACGCTCTTCTTCTCCCACCTCCACGCTCCACAATGAGCAGTTTCTCAATACAGTGAACACCAAGGTCATCAGAAACAAGAAGGGTTACTGGAGGCCGCTCAATGTGCATAATTTTCTGGTAATGCTGAGGATGAATGATTAAATATAAATTACACATTTACACTGTATTATTTTATTGTTTCTTGATGCAAAATCTCACTTGTACACTTTATAAAAGACAGTTTTCAAACCAAGGTAAACCTAAAAAATATTCAGTACACTGCAAAACACTTGAGAGAAGCACTTTAAGAGAACCACATAACCTCAGGTACAGAGACAAACATCCTTGAAAATACTAAAATGGTTTCCCAAACCAAATAAATAAACGGCTATGAATACAGGCCTCTTTTCAGAGTCTCAGTTTGCAGCTCTTCAAAAAAAAAAAAAAAATAGCAGGTGGGCTTTAATGAAACGCCAGGATCTTCACACAAATGCTGAAGGGGTTCTGACTGTGGCCACCAGACGGGCACCTGGTTAGACTGACGCATTTTTAGCGACCACTGCGCTGAGGAGACAGCAGAATACGCTGCATTAAAAATATAAAACATTCACTTCCGCACTGGGTTAGTCTGCAACTATGTTAAGAGCAGAATAGCTTCGAAAATCTAGTTCAAATGGATATTTTTAGTACCGGCGGTTCAGTATAAGCAAATCATATGGCCAGTCTTTTCAACAAGTGACAGTCAAATTCTGCAAAAACCATTTCTGAGCTGTGGTTTTTGGTCTGAATCACTATTCCAGAGCAGCTGCACTGCGAGAACATCAGGACTTCTGCAACACCAACACTAAGCAAGCAAGCAAGCGCTGCTTTTGAGGACATATTTCGAGCTGCTGCAGTGAAAAGGGGAAAAAACATATATATGTGTCCTGTGTGTGTGTGTGTGTGTGTGTGTGTGTGTGTGTGTGT